AAATCAATCTAGGTGATGAAAACATATGACCTCCAACCACTGACCCAAGGGAAATAGAATCATCATCACCATCTTCGAACTGCAGAGCTGGAAGGAATACTATGGACCATTACGTCCAGCCTCTCTGAAGGAGGCACAGCGGGGGAATTGAACTCCCAACCTCTAGCTCCATATACAGATACCAACACCACTGAGCAGTTGAATCCAACAGCAAATATACCCCAGATAGAGTAGGTGAAAGAAGTCATCTGAGCCAGAATGAATTAACGACTCAAAAATGACTGCCTAAAATCAGAGTGTGTGTGTGTGTATGTGTGTGAGAGAAACTCAAAAATGACTGCCTAAAATCAGTATGTGTGTGTATGTGTGTGTGAGACAGAACACCGTTATAGATCCCTTTCTCCCCACTGAGCACCACACGCTTCCCAGACATAATAATTATGTCGCCCCGCTGGCTGCATATATTTCGGCTAGAATTCGTCGCATAGCTCCCAACGCCAAGTGCAGACACCTGCTGTTCCCCTGCGCTCCGCTTACCCTGCAGGCAAGGAAAGGATCTCGTATCAGGGGCTGTCACGGCAACCACCTCAAAATACCCCCCCCGTTTTGCCAATCACCCACTCTTGATGAGGGGGAGGGAGCCTGCCAAGTTACCCGAATGACTAAATCACTCCCCACCCCCTCGGCCGAGGCACACAAGAGAGTCCCTGTCTCTGCTGAAGATTTCGGAATTCCTCTTATATTTCTCTCTTCCCTGTTTGCTCCTGGCACACATACCCCACATGGCCAGGCCTAGGAGGCAATACTAAGATACAGGATATCTTTTTATTTAGCCACTATCACAATTAAAGAAATGATCTGCCAGGCAGTACCAGGAGTAATACACTGCCTTCTTCCGTAACACAGCCTGCAGACGTTCCTTTTTTCGGACTGTAAACTTTCCGAATCCCCCAGCCAGCCTGGCCAGTGGCAGTGCTGACATGACGTTTCTGGGGTTTCTTAAATCAAAAGTATGTTTTCAAAGCTCTGGCCTTTTCTGCAAGGGTGGGAGCAAGCCATCTTTTAGTAATATCATTTCTACCAGTGGGAGAATTAAGGTACATGGAGTTTGCACACTTTAGCCTTGCAAAGTGTTTCTGGGGTTGTTTTTAAACCTACAATGAATGCCTACATTTCACAACAAGCCTCTGCGTAGTGCATGCTGCTTTTTAACGACCATGTAGCAATGTGAGAAACTACTTTGGGTATGTTTTGCAGTATTTGCTACCCTTATGGGCTCAATATTCTGGTTGGCGTGTTCTCTGTCAGGTTGTGATGATGTGCTTTATACATGTACGAAGTGGATGCTGCTGTCCATGTGAGGGTTCTCCCTCTTTCCAAACAGGCCCTCATTCAAGGCGGCCAGCTATTGCATATACTTTAACTTGGATTCCTGCAGTGAAGTGCGGGTTGGACTAGATGACCTTAGAGGCCCCTTCCAGCTCCATGATTCTGTGATAATCAGTTTCCGTACAGTTAGCCCTTGGCTATTACAACGCAAAGGTCTCCTCCCTCCTTTTCTTTCCTCCAGCTTCTCCTCCTCCTCTTCTTGCTGACATCTTTTCTCTATTTTTCCCCATCTCATGCCATCTTCTCTCTGCTCCACCTCCCTCCCACCCCCTTCCTTCTTTGACCCCCTTTTCTCCCTCTCTCCCTCCCCCTGTCCTCATTTCCCACTGCCCAGTAGGCTGGCAAAAATAATTTGCTTTTGATAGATATCAGAAATGTGTTACAAATGATACCGAGGGTCAGCCCAGCCCAGCTGGCTAGTAGGACTTCTGCAAAAGACCCTCTTGATGTTAATGACATTCTCAGCCTAATTGCACAGATTTTTCATCCTGTCACTGACAGCACAAAGACTTGGGGGTGGGGGGAACCAGGGAGAACCATTAATAGATTTAGGGAGTAGATTTTTAAAATTCTTCTCTTCACAGGTTCCCCCCCCTCTCCCTTCTAATGCTGGAAAGTTTCTGTTTGCACTGAAAAAAGATGACACCTTTCCTCTACTTAATCATCTCATTTTGTTGGATTCTTGTGATGCTTGAGGGAAAAAGCTGCTAACAAGAGTGCTAAAAATAAAACAGGTTCCAGCCTAGCTCAGTTGAAGTAATTCAAAGGAACTGAAAGACGGTTTTGTCGCAGGGAATCAACTCCTTGGCCTCTGTTTTACATTCCAAATCTTCTGACAAATTATAAGATCTGTCACAAAGAAAGAGATTCATAACAGGAAAGGAAGGTGCTTAGGACCACATTAGCAGAGGAAAGGGTTGGATTCCCCCTCTATGCCAGCTTTGATCCCACACAATTTACATTCTTCTGCAGGTTAGGTACAAAAACATGCGGATTTGCCAATGCTTGCAAAGTCATTTTAAATATCATTCACAGCAGTTGCTTATACAGTGGTGCCTCACTAGACAGTTACCCTGCATGACAGTTTTTTCGCTAGACATTGGCTTTTTGCGATCGCTATAGCAATTCGCAAAACAGTGATTCCTATGGGGGAATTTCGCTGGACAATGTTTGGCCCCTGCTTCGCAAACCGATTTTCGCTAGACGACGATTTTGACAGCTCCCTCCGCAATCGCAAAACAGGTGTTTTCGGGACCTAAGCTTTGCAAGACAGCAATTTAAACAGCTGATCGGCGGTTCGCAAAGCAGCTTTCCTATGGCCGATCTTTGCTAGACAACGACGATTCTTCCCCATTGGAACGCATTAAATGGATTTCAATGCATTCCAGTGGGGAAATGCTTTTCGCTAGACAATGATTTCGCTAAACAGCGATTTCAGTGGAACCGATTATCATTGTCTAGCGAGGCACCATTGTAACAGAGTTTGAAAAGTAATTCAAGCCCCTCTCAAGGAGGCCCAGTAGGGGAATTGAACTCCCAACCTCTGACACTTAAGCCGCTTTACTATGTTTAAGTTGTGTTGTTCTATTTTGGTTGTTTGTTAAATTTTAATTGCTTTTGGTTCTACCTTTTTGAGGGTGGGGGGGAAACCGACAACAACCCAGGAATGAAAAGAGTATGGTATAAAATGTAAACCTCCTAAAATGGCTTTTTAAAATGCCCTGGAGAAATTTCTTCTCAAAGTAACTACAAAGGTTACATCAACAAAGCTTCCGTTTCACTCATTTCGTTAAATCTGATTTCGTTAAACAGCTATTTCAGTGGAACGGATTATCATCGTCTAGCGAGGCACCACTATATCTTAACCCAGTGGTAGACCAGGACTATAGATACTGTATTAAAAGTGTCGGGTTTACTGGGCATTTCTCAGAAGCTCCTTAGCATTCTTACTCCAGCCCAGTTCTGTATCAGATTACAACACTTTCCACACAGAAAACCATTTATATTTTGACAATCGCATACTTCTGCCTTTTCCAAATATATGCATTTCCAGCTATGCAGGGTATGTGCGGCATCCATGGTTCCACGCACAGGAACTGGCATGAACCTCCAAACCGAGGTTCGTGTCCATTTCTACTTTAAATGAAGGGATATGAAGAATTTCCAGAAATAAATCAAGCATTATTGTCAGGTGTTCCACACACAGGAACTAGCGTGAACCTCCAAACCGAGGTTCGTGTCCATCTCTACTTTAAATGAAGGGATATGAAGAATATCCAGAAATAAATCAAGCATTATTGTCAGGATAATAAGAAAGGAAGATGAATTGCTTCTGTCTAGCAGCAAAGGGTCACTAAGAAATGTCAAAAAAGCTTGTAATGGATAAAATAGAGTTTAAAAAAAATCAAAAGCTGGTTGTATTTGACCATGAAGACAGCTGACAACGTTTGTATGGACTAATCCAGTTTCAGATAACAAAAGGATGGCAACTATTAATTAAATTTGACCAAGGACAACAAGTGGCCTGTCCATCAATGAGTAATGTGAATACAAACTTGACATGCAAATGAATAAGCACTGCTAATTAAGCAGAAGATTTGTAAAAGGTCTTTTTTGACTTTATTAATTAAAAGGAAGATAAATAATAGTTAATGTTAATAGATAATTGGTTGAAAAAGAGATAACCTCAGGGTGGTGGCACTGGCTGTTTTAAAAAAATAACTGAGGGAGTTTCTTACAAAGCCAAGATTCAGGTGCAGGAAAGAAAACCAGAAGATCTGAATGGTCACTTGTAATCTTATACTGGCAAAGCTTGTTAAAAGAGAATTTTTTTCACTGTATGTTATTACTTTGCTATGGAAAAACAGGAATTTGTTTTTATAAATGTAACTGAGTTCTTGTTTCATGAATCTCGAACAAAATATTGTACCATTCATATTTTTATGAATGGTAGTGTTCATCAATGTAGCCACAAATTTTTTTTGTTGACTGTCTTTGGCAAAGAAATATTTTGTGATATGATTTTTGTACAAGATTTTTACACTATTTCATGCACATACTTTTAGTGATATTTTTACATACTTGATAATTAAAAGAATATAAAACCAAACAATTCCAATGTTGCCTAAACTTATTTCTCGACAACAAGAAAGCAGAGAAAATAATACTAAGATTTCTTTTAGAAGACATTTCTTTCAAGATGCTGTGAGTTATTTTGAGACTTTCCACTGATCAAAATTGTGGGTCCACGAAAGATCAGACTGAAATAGATCTCTTAGCCTTTCAAGCATCATAACGCTTGAACTCTTTCTCTGCCCCTACCTTTTGCCAACACACTGAGATAGACTAACGCAGCTATTTCTTTGGAAATGCTTGTGAGAAGTTCACTAGCAGTTGGGGGAGTGGGTCTATGACTTGTATTGTCTCAGTCTTGATGTACATTCCTTTGAGATATAAATATCAATTTGATTAGCTAGCAGATTATGTCAGCTACAGTATCTTATCCCCTGAAGCATTTGAGCAATGACATGGTGCTCGGACATCTGGGAGGAGGATCTCAGCGAACATCTATAAAAGCCAGGGTCTCCGCCTGGGCAAATAACTGAAAAGAGCTGTCTTCTTAGATCTGGACGCCCTCTTCCTCTTCCAGTTTTGGAAAACAGCCACGAAGGTGAGTTTAAGCCTAGCTGGCCACCATCAATGACAACGAACAAGCCTTAAAATAGGCTCGCTTCCCAGAAATGCTCAAGATTCTCAAACTGAACAGGCTGTTGAGGGATAGAATTTTATATGTGAGATTCTGGTTCTCCAAGAAGGTGGAAATAAACGGTGAGGGAAGAGTAAAGAGGCATCAACTCCGTGACCAACCCAAATAAAAAAAATAAGTAAGTGAGAACCAGGCTGGACGAGATGATTCTGGTGTGTTTGAAGAATGGTTCGAAATACGACGATAATCCGTGCAGCAAAAATCACTGCAAAGTGATTTCGTCGCTATGTGGTTTTAAAAAGCCCATAGGAATGCATTGAAACCCATTCAATGCGTTCCTAAGGGCTAAAAACTCACCGCCATGCGAAAATCCTCCATATGGCGGCCATTTTCGCTACCCGGTAAGCGAGGAAACCATGCAAAAACACAGCGGGCGGCCATTTATTTTACCCAGCGGCCATTTTGGAACCGCCGATCAGCTGTTGAAAAAACATTGCTATCCAATAATCGATAAGCGAAACAGCGAACCGATCATCGCAAAGCGATTTTTTACCATTTAAAACATTGCAGTGCGATCGCTTTTGCAGTCGCAAAATCTTCATTGCTATGCGGTGTCGTCGTTAAACGTGGCACTCGTTAAGCAAGGCACCACTGTACTGTAGCTGCTTCTTTTCATCCTGGACTGTCATCTTTGCTCTGGCGTTTGCCTCTGTTTTCCTCCAGACACAAGGAGATGTCTTATCACTATCCCCATCTGGTGGTTGCAGAACAGACAAAAACGAAGTGGTTCTCCACGGACATGGTCTGTCTGACTTCTCCAGAATCTTGCAATCTCTGCTTGAAAATGCTATGAGCTCATAACATCCTGTCTTTCATTTCAGCTAATAATTTCTCCCTTCCCTCCGTAGCTTTGACATGGCCCTTGCTGGGATCCTGACCGATGCCGAAATCACAGCTGGCCTGCAATGTTGTCAAGGTAATTCCTCTATCCTTGAAAATCCTTTGGTTTTCCTTCTTCCTGCAGTGAGATAAAAATGCATCCTTTCTGTCTTCTGATCTCCATTCCTGCTCTGGATCAAGCCCTGCTAAAGAAATCAGAAGCCTTGCTTAAGCAGCATTTTGTTATGCAAAATAATGTTTTTTTAAAAAAATGAAACAAAATTTAAAAATACCATTAACTTTCCCATATAAAATAGATTTCAGTGGAGTTCAAAGTCCACTTCGGGTATTTTTAAAACAATTCTTTGTGTACAGGCATTAAAAGTAGAGAAAATAACACGAATATCAAACCACAGCCCAAAATTATGATTTTTTAAAAAATAATCTCATGTTTAATAGCAAATTAATTCAGATGCAAATCTTTTCTGAAGTTAACATGTAATGAAAAAGAACTTCACAGCTCATAAATAAGCACAATGATGGAAGATAAGAAAAATGTACGGCTTAATATTCTATCCAAATATGTTGCTAATATTATAGTGATAATTTGAACCTAGGGGTGCAAAGACACTGGAATAAGTAAAAGGACACTTTCTCTGTTCTAATCACCCAAACGTCATAGATGGCTTCAGAGAGTAAAAACCTATTCGTCCTTTCTCCTGGAACTGTTTGGAATTTTAATAGTGAAAATGCTAATCTCAAACACCACTATATTAAATTAAACACAGGGCTTTAGAGAGAAGAAAACACAGGACCTACTATGGATGGAATGACCAGGCATTGTGCTGATGAATTGTACAGGCTTTAAAAAAATCTGTATTTTTTTCTGATGACAACTTGAGAAATTTGTTTTCATGGAAAACCAGTGTAGTTACTGTTTTGACTTTTAGCCAAGCATTATGCTACTTGTAGTCACTTTTATGCTACTTGGTAGAAGTCCCTTTTATGAACCCAATCCCTGTTTCCTGGTGGATTGGGGTGGGTGGGTTATAGTCCTTTAAAGTAACTTTTTTTCAAACTCTGTTGTGGTTCCCAACCTTGGGGAACCCTGATGTTCTTGAAATGCAATCACCAGAAATGCCATTCAGCACAGTCCTTAATCTCTCCTCTCCTCTTCCCATCCACCTTCTCTCCTCTTCCTATCCCTGTCTGTTTCTGCTTCTCTTTCTTGCTTCCAGCTCCTGATTCCTTCAATTACAAGACTTTCTTTGCCAAATCGGGTCTCCGGGACAAACCTAGGGACCTGTGGAGAGAAGTGTTTGCAGTACTGGACCAAAACAAGAGTGGATTCATTGAGGAAGATGAACTAAGGTGAGTCGGCAGAATTGGGCTGATGTGAAATCAGTAAAGTGGTCATAATGGGCGGGGGATTCTGGGAGTTGCAAAAGGGAGTAATTTTTCCAAGGTTTAGTAGAGGAAAGAAAGCCTATAATGCCTACAAATGCTTGACACAGGAAAACTAAATATCAGTTACCTTCCAGGTGTGGCCCAGTGGCACGCTTCAGCCTCTGCAGAGCTTGGAAAAGTTACTTTATCAAGTTATCAGTCCCAAAACCTATTCATTCAATGGGACTTTCAGTAAGTTGGCAGTTATGCTAAGTCTTACTGGATGATCAGAAACTAATGACATTCAATAAATGAGCATATAATTCAACCTACAGTGGTGCCTCGCTTAACGGGTGCCCGGTTTAACGACGAATCCGCATAGCGATTAAGTTTTTGCAATCGCAAAAGCGACCGCATTGTGACGATTTAGATAGGAAAAAATTACTTTGCGATGATCGGTAAGCTGTTTCGCTTACTGATTTTCACATAGTGATGTTTTTCTAACAGCTGATCGGCGGTTCCAAAATGGCCGCTAGGTAAAAAAATGGCCGCCTGCTGTGTTTTCACACCCATTCCTCGCTTACCGGTCATCAAAAATGGCGGCTGTATGGAGGATTTTCACATAGCGGTGAGTTTTTTTGCCCATAGGAACGCATTAAACGGGTTTTAATGCATACCTATGGCCATTTTTCTTTCGTATAGCGATGAATCCACATAGCGACGATTTTTCTGGAACGGATTATCATCGCTATGCGGGGCACCACTGTACAAATAATAGAAACCAGGAAGCCACCACTACCGTTTTCCCCAAAAATAAGCCCTACCCTGAAAATAAGCCCTAGTAGGATTTTTCAAGATGCTTGTCATATAAGCCCTACCCCCAAAATAAGCCCCAGTTCAGTGAAACCCTGCCCTCCACCCTTGCGCAGCAACCAGAAGAAGATGACAGGACTGTATATGAATAAATGTAGAGGGTTGTATATGAAAAAAATAAAAATAAAACATCCTCTGAAAATAAGCCCTAATGCATTTTTTGGAGCAAAAATTAATATAAGACCCTGTCTTATTTTTGGGGAAACGCGGTAGTATAGTCTCCAAATCCTGTGAGGTGCTAGTCCGCCTCTATTCAGTACTAATTAGGCCTCATTTTGAGTACTGTGTCCAGTTCTGGACACCTCACTTTAAGAAAGATGCCAACAAACCAGACCAAGGTCAGAGGAGGGCAACACATGTGATCAGGAGCTTGGAAACCAAGCCTTATGAGGAAAGGCTGAAAGAACTGGATGTGTTTAGCCTTGAGAAAAGAAGACTGAGGGGTGAAAGGATAGCACTTTTCAAATACTTGAAAGGCTGCCCTACAGAGGAGAGTCGGGATCTGTTCTCAATTATCCCAGAGAGCAGGACATGTAATAATGGGCTCAAGGTACAGGAAACCAGATTTAGGCAAAATAGCAGGAAAAAAATTCTTAACTGTTAGAGCAGTACAACAATGGAACCAATGACCTTGGGAGGTGGTGAGTGCTCCAAGGCTGAAGGCATTGAAGAACTGGACGACCACCTGCTTTGACTTGCATTCCAGCACTGGGTTGGACATGATGGCCTCATAGGCCCTTTCCAAATAATTTATCCTATGATTCTAGAGTAGGCCCATTGAATGGAACTTCTGGAGAACTCAAAAAATACCCATTGATTTAATGGACCTACTCTAGTGGTGACTTACTACTAGATTTCAGCTATTGAGTAGAGATGGGGGTGTTCGTATACAAATACCCCCATGTCTAGTCAATAGCCCAAATCCTGTTGGTTAATGTATCAAACTGCAGTAGAATATCCCCATTGAATCAACTGGAAATTAGAGAGTCAACTCCTCCATTGATTCAAATGATCCTCCTGTAACTATAACTCACTGACGCACTGCTAAGGATTTTGGTCAATGGGTCTGCTGTACTTGGAACCAGTAAACTGATGTGGAATCAGTACAGTAAAGTGGTCATGATGGGTGGGGGATTCTGGGAGTTGTAAAAGGGAGTAATTTTTCCAAGGTTTAGTAGCATAGAACAGCTTTTTTTACATACCTTGGGTGGCAGAGAAAGAGACTGAGATGATTTCCCTGCCTATTTGAATCTATTTGTAGCCTTCTCTTCATAGAAAATAATAGGATAGGTAAAAAGTGTGTTAAAATGATCAGAAAATAATGATATACAATGAATAAGCATATAATTCAACTGATAAATAATAGAAGTCAGTAAAACTATAAAACAGTAGCTAGTCAGCAGTTAACTGTTTGGAACTGATGGGGCAGAAAAATTAACTGTTGGCTAGCAGTCAAATATCAATAAATTTGGCATCAGATAAACTTCTTAGGGAAAGCCACACAGAAACAGCCCTAAGTTGCTTCTGCTCATCATGGTCAATGAGAAGCACCTCCTTGCACTGTAGATCTAAAAGCAGTATGAATCCAGGAAGTAAAGAGCTGCCTGAATATTTTCAAGGTGAAGAGCTGCCCAAACATTTTATGAACTTTGGGATATAAAGGGTTTCCAATGAAAAAGCAAACAATTCTCTCCCATTGACATCATGATGTTTCAAAGTGCTTCACACCTAATACATCTTCCCCTCCCTCAACCATACAGAAGACTCTCCACATTAACTGTCCAGTCCTTTCCTACTGATTTTCGTAATCCTGTATATGACAGGTGGAGGTACTCTATCAAACAGATAGATAGATAGATAGATAGATAGATAGATAGATAGATAGATAGATAGATAGATAGATAGATAGATAGATAGATAGATAGAGGTAGTAAGTATATTGTCAGTTATTTAGGTACCAACATGATATGCCTGTCCTTGGGAATTATGCCTCTTGACCGGAGGGGAGAGCATCATTTGGCAAACTCCCTAAGGCAGCCATTTTCAGACTTAGGCAGCAAAAAATTCTTGGGATGTCCTTGGTATTGCCCTGCCGCCAACACTGATCAAATAACATGATCGCTCCTTGACTTATTTTTCGTGTCTGATCGTATTATTCTCTCTCTTTCTCTCTCTTTTTTTGCAGGAATTTTCTGCAGAATTTCAGTTTATCTGCCAGACGTTTGACATTGCCCTGCACACTGATCAAATAACACGATCGCTCCTTGACTTATTTTTTGTGTCTGATCCTATTATTCTCTCTCTCTCACTCACTCGCTTTTTTGCAGGAATTTTCTGCAGAATTTCAGTTTATCTGCCAGACGTTTGACTGACGAAGAGACCAAGAATTTCCTAGCAGCAGGAGACATTGATGGAGACGGCAAACTTGGCATGGAAGGTACAGGTTCATTCATACAGATCATCCCATCTTTTATTTTGAAAAAAAAATAGTCAATCAAAATAGGCATTCAACCCGTGTGCAATAACCAAAGTCTGGGCTTACAGGCTTGAGACAACCCCTGGGGGGAGGAACTATTGGGGTTCTGCCAAATAGTCTGAGCAAATAGAACTGAACATGCTCTGAGGACACAGAATGCTGGCCAATCATTTTAGGAGGAAGGAGAAGGAGCATACGGGGTGGAAGATTCCCTTGTTGCTCCTTGGTTGCAGGGCTCACTTGTACTTACAGTGGTGCCTCGCTTTACGCTTGAGACAACCCCTGGGGGGAGGAACTATTGGGGTTCTGCCAAATAGTCTGAGCAAATAGAACTGAACATGCTCTGAGGACACAGAATGCTGGCCAATCATTTTAGGAGGAAGGAGAAGGAGCATACGGGGTGGAAGATTCCCTTGTTGCTCCTTGGTTGCAGGGCTCACTTGTACTTACAGTGGTGCCTCGCTTTACGATTACCCCGCAGTGGTAGATTCCCTCATTGCTCCTTGGTTGCAGGGCTCACTTACAGTGGTGCCTCGCTTTACGATTACCCCGCATTACGACAAAACCGCATTGCGACGATATTTTTGCGGTCGCAATTGCGATCACAAAACAGTCGCAATTGCTATCGCAAAACAATGGTCTGAATGGTTTGTTTGTTTTTTTTTTTTTGCTTTGCGATGATCGGTTCCCTGCTTCGGGAACCGATTCTTTGCAAAACGACGATTTTCCCCCAGCTGATTGGCAGTTTCAAAATGGCCACCGGGTAAATAAAATGGCTCCCTGCTGTCTTCTGGGACAGGTTCCTCGCTGCACATGCACCGAAAATTGCCGCCCTATGGAGGATCTTCACTGGACGGTGAGTTTCCAGCCCCTTGGAACGCATTAAACGGGTTTTAATGCATTTCAATGGGATTTGTATTTTCGCATTATGACATTTTCGTTCTACAGTGATTTCGTTGGAACGAATTAATGTCGTAGTGCGAGGCACCACTGTACCTGTTCATTGCCACTCATCATTACAAGGGCAACCTGTCATGCTGCTCATAACCCCAAGCAACTTTTTAGTTGTTTCTTAGGCTCTTCCAGGTGGAACATTTCTTTTCCTTAATGTACCGGGTTCTGCACTGATACGTATGATCAGTATTCCCCTTCTCTCAGTGAAGTTCCTTTTTCATGATGTTCAGTTCCTTTGTATCCCTTTCTGAAAGCATTGCTTATCTTTAGTATTGATTTGCACTGAAGGCTGAGTTTAGCGCTATGGCAGTTGTCATTTGAAACTTAAGAAGAGGCCCTTCTCTTGGTACGTGGGACAGGAACCCAAGATCAAGCCTTCTCAGTGATTGTCCACATTCTGTGCAGGTGAGGAGGACTGAACATCAGACAGATTGCCGAAATGATCCGGAATAATCTGGTCTGAAATTGTTAAGCCTAAACCCTGACAGATTGCTGATCCGGAATAATCTGGTCTGAAATTGTTAAGCCTAAACCCTTTCGAATGAATTTACCTGGCTGCACAGGAAGGGTTGTGTTCCTCAGGTTTTTGTTCCTGCAAAAGGTAAGGTACGGTCCGTCTGTAATAAAAGCTAACCGAAAAGGGCATTGCCAGTTAAGCATTCCTAAGGAACACCTAGAACAAGAATAAAAACGTCTGGATTGCCCAACACTACTTTGGGACTCATCCTGCCAGTCTATGGGTCTCCCCTGCCCCCAGCTTTATGCCCAATCTTAGCCAGGACAAAAATCAGCTAGCAGAGGTGAAGGTGTTTCAGTCCAGATTCCTTTGGTAAGGAAGCGGAGGTTGCTCAGCTTGTGGACAGAATCCGCAGCCGTGGAGGCAGGAGTGTTCTGTCAGGGGCAGTCGCTTTTTAAATCTTTGCATTCCGCTCAGACATTCACTGCCCGCTGAAAAGAGCAGACAGCTTTCTGAGCCTCTCGAGAATCCGCAGCCGTGGAGGCAGGAGTGTTCTGTCAGGGGCAGTCGCTTTTTAACTCTTTGCATTCCGCTCAGACGTTCACTGCCCGCTGAAAAGAGCAAAGTGCTTTCTGAGCCTCTGGTAATCTTGGCAGGAACAATGACACCCTCAGAGATCCCATTTCCTTGCCCAGCTATGGCAGCTGCTTAAAATTTTGGATCCGTCTGCCCATAAGATCTGCAGAGGTAAGAGCGTTAGCCGGCGGTGTCCCCGAAAGGTTGATTCTCTTGCAATGTTATGCAAAAATAAATGCAAGGAAGGGGATAAGGGTGTGTGTGCTTAAACCATTCGCTTCATGTTTGTAAAAATAGGGATCCAGCGATAGGCTGACTCAATTCTTTGTTTTAATGCTGTTAGTGTGAGATTTCTTAGCAGCCATCACTGGAGGAGGCGTCATTCCTTAGCCCGTCACCAGATTTGGACTCTTTCAAAACTTCAGATCTGTGTGGCTTGGGTCCCTTTCCAGCAACCGGCTGAATTTGTGTGTGTGTGTGTTTTTAAGAGCACTAAATGCTGTTGAACTTGAGTCAGAAGGCAAAAAGTTCTGCCTGCTCCGAAGTCCACCTGGGTTTCAATCCCTTGCACCCGCCTTCCTCCCAAGCACACACTTTAAAGTAAAAAGAGAAGTTCCAGCTGACTTTTTTTGTGTTTTTTTAAAAAAGAAAATAAAATCAATTTTTTTGGTTGTTGTGGGTTTTTCGGGCTCTTTGGCCGTGTTCTGAAGGTTGTTCTTGAGACTGGAGTAGGAACTCTGTCCATGCTCTGTTAGTGCTTGTTGGATAGTATTTATAGCTGTGGGAATGGCTTTTTGTCTTTTTTCAGGCGATAGGGTGATTAGCATGTTTTTGTTTTGATGAGGGGGAGAGGGAGAGATTATCTGTCACTGTAGTTGATGGGTGTCGTTAGCTGGTCTTTTTT